GACTTTGGGGGCTTGCTATTAGCCTTAGGCTAGTAACGCCTTGGGGCCTGCTATCAGTGCCAAGTATTAGCCTCTACTTGTAGACGGAGAGTTTCTCTCAAAGGTTGTTGTCACCTTGGTGGAGTCTTCCTTCCGCAAGTTAGTTGCGGTAGTTGTAGTTGTTGTGACGGTTGTTTCCTGTGGCAAGTTCAAATGGCGGTGTTGACAATACTAGAGATAGCGGTGCTGACAAAGTACCTCTGTAACTTGGCCGTTGCAAGTGCTGCATTTGCAACTTAGTTGCTTCGGTTTTCTTCTTTCCCTTTCCCTCAGCAACTTCAAATGGCGGCGCCAACAATACTTGAGATGGCGGCGCCGACAATACTATGAATGGTGGTGCTGAGACAAAGTGCCTCAGTAACTTGATCGCTACAAGTGTTGCCTCTGGAACTTGACTTAGACATTTTTCTTCATGGAGTTTGTTCAGACCCTTTGTAGGTCGGACCTATCCCGACCCACTATTGACCCACTTCCCTTAGGCTTTAGCCCATGCCCTTTTAATCATTCCCTGTCGCCTAATAGGGCGACCTCTGCACTTAGGTCCATACTTAATTTTGACATTAATTTCTGACCCTCTACACTTACAAAATTAGAAATCTTAAAAATTTCTAAAATCTCCCAAAATAATATCAAAATTATCTTTCAAAAAACATTACACTCACCAAAATGCATACCCCTATAAAAATCTTTCGTCTCCCAAAATCCTTAACAATTGAACTTACAAATTTTCTTCTCATTATCAAGAGAGTTGAAAGAGTTGTACCATTGATTTCTTTGTCGTCGATCTTTGTCATAGTTGATCTCTCACTACCAGCCTCTCTCTATCATTGATCTTTCAGCCGCCATGTTTGGACCTGTGTTGCCGAACAAATTACCCATGTTCGAATCTATGTTACTGAACAATTTGTACATGTTTGGACTTGTGTTACCAAATATTATAAAAACATCCTGTGTATGTGAACAGGTTTGACCCATCAAAGTTTAACAAACAAAGATAAGTATGCATCTACTAGTTTGATTAACAAATAGCACTAAAGTTCATTACATAACCAAAACACAAGTATGCACTAAGGTTACATCCAAAGTGTCAAACATGTAACACTTTTGATTTATAAGCCTTTGGAATGCATTTAATTCCATTCTTTTGTTATTGAAATCTCTTGGTTGGTGTATATTGATGTTGGTTGAGTGAGAAATTTGATCCATACCTTGATTAGAACGTTAATTTGTGCATTAATCTGTCAGAAAGATGATATAGAACCTTAGAAATTTGATCTGAGTGTCGACACTGAGCTTCTGAGTGTCGATACTTGCATTCCTTCCTCTTCTCCTCAACATTCTATTTTTGGGTGTCAACACCGAGGTAGTCTGGGGTCGACATTTGCTTTCTTGTTATTTTTGTTAAGCATTTTTCTTTCTAGTGGGTGTCGACACTGTCTAGTTTGAGAAAGACTTAGGTGCGCACCGCTTGGAAGTGTCAACACATGGGTAATGTGGGGTCGACACCTTACCAGTTGTGAACTTATTCCTTCGTGCTCATGCACGCGAGTGTCGATACCGCTCTTTGAGGTGTAGACACTTGACAGAAAACCCAAGATATTTCAATCATGTTTGGGCCCCACTTTTTGAAATTTTTGACTTTATATTTTATATATTCTTGGGCCCTATAACCCATTTTACCCCTCCATTATAAATAGAAACTCTCTCTCACTTTTTCCTCACTCTTTCTCTCTTTACCATTACTCTCTTTCTTCTTACTTAGTTATTGAGAGCTTCAAGCTTGGGTTTCATCTCCTTAGAGGTAGAATCTATCCCTAATCCTTGAGGGGAAAAGGTAGAACATATCAAGGGCTATGTTTGGAATAGATCGGATCGTGTTTTTGTGGTCGTCGAAGTTTGGGTCTTCAACTCTTCTCTCTCATTCTTGAGATAAAAATACCTTAACCTTGTATATCGATATTTTGAAATGAGTATGTGGTATTTTCTTAGATATAGTGGTTTATGAGATAGATGGTTTTGTTAATAAAAAAAAGGTGTTGATGTTTAAAAATGAGGTTATTACTCAAATTTTTGAATATTTTGAAAGTTTTGTGTAAAAGTGGGCATTTGTTGATGATCCTTGGATAGATGAAGGAAATGAGAAACCCCTCCAAATTTTTACAAAACCCTAATTTGTGATTTTGATTTTAAAGGTGGGATTTGAGAATAAATTGCCACTTGTGATGAAATTGAGTTGATGATATGTTGATACATTTGGAAATCTTGAAATGATGTGAATCTTGGAAATTGTGTTGAAATGATGGATGGTTATGGAGGCTATTGAAAGCTATGAGATTGTAATACCTTTTTCCCATGGATTAAAATGTTTATTTCTTATGAAATTAAAAAAGGACTTTAGGAAAATTATTGTATTTGTGAACTCATGCATCACTTTGCATTTCATGATTTTTAGCTCACACTATTTTATCATCATGAATATCGGAATATTGGAAAGGGGGTAAATGGCATAGTAATCTAAGTAGAGAATCGGTTTTGGAAATGTGTTGAGTATTGTGTTGGTACCCGCGTAGGGAGTCAATGTGCCCAATTGCCCTGTTTTGAGCTTGATGCCGGACGAATGTGGGAAAGTGTTTTCTAAGTGCCCAATTGTCCTTCTGTACTTGGGCTTAGTTTGGCATCTTCAAAAAAAAGATAAAAACTCAAAAAGTTACTAAAAAAGTTTAAAAGTTATTACTATTCACCAAAAAAAAAATTATAAAAAAAATTATTTTTACACAAAAAAGGTACAACGACGTGAGTTGCCTTTACCTGACTTTGGTGAGAACAAATTACACAGGTAGAGGCAAGCTTAAGGACGGTGTTGTTCGGCCTGTGGGGGCCCATCACGGGTCCCGTTTTTATAATCTGAACCGTCAATGAGTAGAACTCGTCGAGTACTATATTCTTGTAAAAAATCACGTTGATCGGATATCGCTAACTACATGATCAAATCAGTTTTGTATAAAAAAATAGATGGTATTATAGTTAATGGTTGCCAAAAAACTAATCCGATCAGATAGCTATCGATATTCGATCAACGTGATTTTTCACAAACATATAGTACTCGACGAGTTCTACATATTGAACGGTTCTGATTACCAAAATGAAACCCGTAGTTGGCCCCACGGGCCGAACATCACCGTCTAATTTAATACCCGAAAAGGAGGCAAGCATATCCTATATGCTAGTTTGCCCACTGCTTTGCCCAGCATACTGCCTATTCTTCTCTCTCTTCTCCTATACACTAAATTATACAATTTTTTAATACATATTTTTTCATAAAAAGTCAAAAAGTTATCTCAAATAATCATATTTTTTTCTTCAACTTTTTAGTTCAAAAAGTCAAAAAGTACATTTATTTAGAACATCACAAATAACCCTTGCTGATAAATTTAGAAAAGGGCTGTGATTCCTACACCCAGTGGGGCGACCCCCACTGACGACCCCCAGTGAGGTGTCACCTCCACATTGGCCGGAAAAAAAAAAAAAAAAAATAATAGTTTTTTTTTTTCACCAATCACATGCGACCCCCAGTACCCCCACTGGGGGTCGGAGGCATTTTCCTTTAGAAAAATGATTGTTTTAGATGCCTAATCGTGCTTCCGTATTGAGCCAGTAAATTTGGGACATTAACATATAAAATCTCTATATACGTGTTTGATACTTGTGGGATTCTAGTGCACATTTATTACCCTCTATTTGGTGTTGGTTTGTTTTTGGAATAAAAGTGAAGGATATTCATAGGTATGATCATACTTGAATCAAATATTTATATACTTTGTTAAATGTATTTTTACTGAACAATCTTACTCATTCCTATCATAAATAACATTTTAGGTCAATATGACAAAATCCTACTCCGTTGACAAGAAGGTGGAGACTTGTAATAGGGCACGAAAGCTCATTTTAGACGTTTAATTGTTGTAGCTATTGAGCTTATGTATTTGGGAACATGATTCCATTTTTGTGAAATCAAGACCCATGTCTGGAAAGTTGTAAACCATTAGGACATCTTATTTGTATCTATCTAGCTCTTTGAACCATAAGTGTTATTAATTGTATCTTGAAAATGTGGTGTTGTATTGTGAACTTATAATCTTTTGAGAAGTTCAAGGAGAAAAAGAAGCATTTTTGTTATCATCATATTGACTCCATCTATATCTTTATTTCACGCCAACATCTGTTGTGAAATGGAAATAAAAATACACGATTGATGCCAAACTGATAAAAATAATTATAAATTGATTAAAATATCAAGGCGTTACAGAGCATATGAATAATGTTCGATTAGATGTTGCCAAACTCATGCTTTTAATTTGGCCTTCTATTGTCATTTTTTTTGGCATATATTCGGGAGTTTAGTACCCAAAAAAATTTGAACCGTTTTCACCATTTTTTTTTGTTTGAAAAAACTTATAATTACAAGGTCAACCTCCACCGGGATACGATCATCATCCAAGATGTGAATCTCCTCTAAGCTTATATTGTGATGCCCCATTTGTCTCATGGTATTGGGATTCACAAAAAAAATTTCACTCATTGCCATTGCCAATAAAATGTGTATTACCGAATAATTGCCTTTGTTGCCATGAAGGGTTTTGGAGGTTTATAAGTTTTGAGTGTACTGAAGTGTGTTGATTGTGATGAAGTTGAATGCTCTTATAAACCCAATGTTATGATTTAAATAGCGGGTGAGTTTAATTGTGAGATAAAGTGTCCCAAAATAATTTATTTTCTTTTTAATAATTTTATTTGAGATTATTATTGTAATAAAAAAATTTAATAGCCAAGTGTGTTAATTGAAGTGCTAGTAGCAGCCCTCCAAATTTTATATCCACACAGACCATTTATTTATTTATTTATTTTTCAAGCCATATAATCTTATGCAAAAAGTCTACCAAAAGCTGAGTTGGGGAAGCTCGTCATGCCTACTTGGGTGTTCCTTTCCAAATACTGAGTCCAACAGCCTACAATTCTCAAGTGTGGGAGGTTGAGAAACAAGCCTTTGTAGTGCACAAACCACTTAGGAGTCCAACATAAAAAGGAAATAACACTATCCCAGATTAAACCACAATCCCAAAGAAGAAAACCACGAGGAAAAGAAAAAAGAAGGAAGAACAGAATGAAAAGCAGCCCCTGCAGAACAACAAAAGAACGCACCGGGGGCAAATTCCAGAACATTACTTCTATTTGGACATTGTAGTAGGTACATGAGATTCCCAAAGCCAATTGTCTGACACACAGCTGGTGGTCTCGCTGACAATTCCATTCTTGACACTGCCATTGAAGGCATCGGCATTTTCCAGTCCAAGAGTTGAATTTTTCCCAGAAACTGTCATTCCCGGATATGAGACATCATCTCCACCTACAGTGATAGTTGGTGAGAGATTACCCAGTCCGCACATGTTCTGACTATTGAATGACTGAGGAGTGGTCAAATGATTTTGTAGAAGATGACTCAAACTAGACGTTAACGAGCCCCTAGCAACCATGTCTTCAGCCAGCTTCACCTGAAGTAGCAGTCCAACATCCATGAGAGATCATAATACTTTTCACCAGCCTTGAAAAGCAGTTGAATGTAAAGACTTGCCAAATAGACTGAAGTGGAAGCGAAGAAAGGTTCACAAATACTGAAGCGTTTGTAATATTCCTTAATTGCTTAACGCACTAATGCTTTTTTCCCCAATCAATTAATGTAGTTTTTAATCACATTCACCAGTAAATGTTGATGAAAGCCATGAATGAACTATTTATTATCAGGAAACAAGGGCTAGGATTTTGCTTGTATTATCTTCCAATTTTTTAATTTGTTAAAACAAAACCATGTTATGTTGGACTTGCAACAATGAGTTTGAAGATATTAATTATCCAATGCCATTCCTTCATTTTATGGCAAGAAGAGGGGAAACCACGATACCTTGGCTCTCAAAGCTTCTACATCTGACTTAAGCACTCGATTATTGGTGGTAGCATCTTTAAATTGTTGAGTAGCATCCGTAAGTTGCTTAAACAAAGCTGCATTATCTCCTCGCAGTTGGTCAACCTAAGAGAAAAAATCAATGATCCAAAAGAAACTTGAAGGAACTCAAAACTTCAGCATGGTTGTGTCCATGAAACTAATTAAAGGGGAAAAAAAATCCTCTACAAATTTGAAGTTGAAGCAAAACTTTTTCAATCTAAAAACTCATTCTAATTCGCAGCCATGCTCCATGTGGTTTGCAAGAGCATAGATAAACAAGAAAAATATAGATTTTACCAAAAAGCGTCCAAGACCAAATAAATTTAAGATCAATTCCAATTTCCCCTCTCAATTCCACTGTCCTTTTAGCATCCAAATGGAGCATTAAGCACAACTTTAGCCTATTCAAATGATACATGATAGGAAAAATTGGTTACCTGCTGCTCAAGTTCTGCCAGCTGTGCTTGCTTTCTACTTCTTGAGCGCCTAGCAGATTCCCTGTTCGAAACCATTCTGAAACCACAGAAACAATATCATGTAGGCACTTACCAAAAATAAAAACAAGACCACGTAGGCTTGTTCAAGATCTAACCCATATTTGTATACTCTGATTCTTAGACATTAATCTACCTTTTGATGCGTTTTACATCCATAGTAGGGTCAGTGCTCTGTTCACAAGGACCAGCTTCTGTCTCTAGGTCATCATCATCTGATTGCTCATGCGAGGAACCACTGGTAGCTCCCGTTGCTTGATTATCTCTGCCTTTCGGTTTGGTAGTTGAATATGGACTGCTGACTAACCAATCACATGTTCATAAACAACAACAAAGAAAAGTAATTACACCAAATTCCCTGAGGACTATGTCTATGACCAAACAACTTCATGGTGAATACATTTATTCTTATTATCATGAAAGAACATGTCAGATCCAAGTTGCTTATTACTCTTGATTGTTAATACCATGACCTGTATGCATGCATACAAACCTACATACTATACACTTATAAATGTAGAAATATTCATATTAATTCAGATTTGTAAGGGTCAGAGCTGGCTCAATATTCTTGAGGGCCTTGGGCGAAGTCTTAAAGGGCGATTTTTTTTTATATCAAATATTTAATTTAAATAATATAATTAATTTTTAACATTGTATTTATTTATTTATTTTTTACTTACAAGATTCATTTTCTTAACATATGTATTTTTGTAATTAAGATGGACTTACCGCTTTGGACAAAAGGTTTTTATTTTGTTGGCTTTCTGAAGAGTTTTTTTTCTTTTTTTTCCTTGTTCAGCCTTTGGACAAGGAGTAATTTATTCAGTCTTTATTATTGGGGGCCTATGGACGAGGTTGTTATTTTTCTTGGAATTTGGACAAGAAATTTTTTTTAGGCCTTTGGACAATGAAGATTTTTTAAATTTGACTGGGTTTTTAGACAAGAAGAATTTTTATTTTTCTGTAGGCCTTTTGACAAATATTAAAGAGCATGAAAATTGGGGCCTAGAAAAAATTGGGAGCCTTAGAGAAGTCGCTCACCTAAGGGAAAGGCCAGCCTTGCAGTGAGGATTATCTCCATGAACAACCAACTGTACCGTGAATTTCTTATCAACACAAAAGATATGAGACCTAAGTTGTTTGCCACACTTGATTGTTTACCACGTGTATAGATAGACACGTATATGAGTGCACACACACACACACATAAATGTAGAGATGTCCATGTAAACTTTATCATACCACATATTGATGACTGGGAATCAAGAGGTGCTGTGATGCTGGACTGCTTGGAAGTGATATTTTGAGACCATAGAAGGTTATCTGCTAGTCCACCACTTGGATAACCATTCTTGAACTCCTGGATAACAAGCGAGTATATAATTATTTTATAGGGTATAGAGATATAGACAGCAATTCATGAGCAGGTAGCTTCAACAAGAAGGAACTGGCTTATTTTATTTCTATTAATTTAATTATCATTGACTATTTCCTTCATCTTCTTTCCTTTTAAGGGAATGAAAGGATGAGGATGAAGAGCAGGGAAGGCATTTACATGATTTAATTGAGCACATTCAATTTATGTTTATGATATGTGTCCAGTAGGGGTGCTCATCCATCCGCCCCGACCCGCCCTAACCCGAAGGGTTTTGGGCGGATGTGTGGTTTTGGGTGGGTGGATGTGGTTGTGAAATCATGCTTTTTGTGTGGGTGGCGGATCGCCTGCCTCTGAGCCGCACCAACCTGACCCACCTGTATTAATTTTTTTTCTTCTCCAGACTTTGTGTGCAGCAGCCCCCAACAAAGAAAACAAAATTTTCCCTAACCTTTCTCACTTCTCTCTCTCTCTCTAAAAACCCCAAGGCAGATCTTCATCATCTCCTCCACTCCATCAGTCCGATCGATGAGCAGCGGCAAGCAAGGATCGACAAGCAGCAGTGAGCGGCGGTAATTACTTCTCTTCTCTTCTTCTTCTATTGTTGTTTGTTAATCTGTTAGGATTAACAATCTGTTTGTTAATGTGTTAGCGTTGAACCATTCAATCGTTTTCTTTTATGGGTTTTCATTTTCTTTACCCCAGAAAAGAAAAACTTTTCTGGGTTGAAAACCATTCCATACTTTTCTTTGATGGGTTTTCATTTTGCTTATTATTTTGGCTGGGCTACATTGTTGAGTCTTTTTAAATCACTTAAATCTTTCCTCACTATCTAATATGTTGATCATGAGATTGTGCTCGGTTCTAATTTGTAATCAGTTTTTGTGTTTGTTAGAATATATTGGTTTCACTCGTTAAAAAATTAAAATATAGGGCTTCATTTTTATTATTATAAAAATAATGAAGAATACAAATTTTAGACGTAAATAAGGCCTAAAAAGTAGTGAATTATAAGTTAAAAAAATGTTGAAAATTTGCAAAGTCTAAACTGGCAAGCTGATCGCATCTATCCGCCACTCCAATAATCCGCACAATCTGCATCCGCCAACTAAGCGGACAGATGAGGATTTATTTTTTCCAATTTGCCTACTTTTGGACAGATGCCGGATGGGATGCCACCCGACCGAACCTGAACCGCAAGCACCCTTAGTGTCCAGAGTCCAAGCACCTAGCACATATATTTATTTTACTAAAAAAGGTATCCCATTCAAATTGCTTTAAATGGCCTTACGTGGATCCTTCGGTAAAAGGTAAAGCTACTGTGGCAATAACAACATCAAATTTATTTATTTATTATTTTTTTTCTGGCAGCACTTTAGTCTCAATTTACACAAAAATTTCATAACTTTTTCATTTAGTCTCCCCCTTTGACCAAAATTCAACATTTCACACATATAGTATTGGTACATATACTAGGTGCGGGTTAGCACTAATAACGGTCGTGTGCTAGATCTGGATTCTCATGGGAGTTACTGCAGAACAACCCAATTCTCATAGTCGCAGCCTCACAATGACTCTTAGTTGAATCCTTGAAGGATATAGGTGATGTGTATATCCTGCAAGAGTATGTCATCTGATTCATTTATGATCAAACCCTTCAGTAACATCATACTTCATCAGCACTCACGTCTTAGGGATGAACAGGAGATATGTTTGGCCTCTATTTAGGTTTCGGTATCTTCTCCTTTTAGGAAGATACCACTATTTTTGATATCTAGAGATTTGAGGGCAGTGTACGATTTGTAGTGAAACTTTTTATTTTCTTTTTGATCATCTTTGGACAACTCCTTGTTCTCTCCTCCTTGTACTGCTGCTTCTTTTAATATTATATTTTCTTTTGTTATCAAAAAAGAAAAAAAAAAAGAACCCCCCCCAAAAAAAAACAGAGAGAGAGAGAGAAGAAAAGAAAAGAAAAGAAAAAGTGTGGGAATATGAATCTACCCATTAAACTTCCTTCATGGCATCACCAATCAAAGAAGTCGGGTTACTTCCTTAGGTGATTCCTTGTGGGCTTTGGTCCTTCCTCCCAACAAATCTAAGATTGCACTCTTACATAGAGCCTTGGTCACTTGATCATCAATGTTCTTTTTTATTTCACAAAGTTTAAAGAAACAACATTCTTGTTTACCAGCATTCCAATTGACAAAAATCTTACTTGTATATATCTGTCCATTTTCCTGTTATGTTGTTGCCTTGTTAATTCTATCACAACTCCATTATCACAGTGTGGAAATAGCAGGTAAGGGTGTGGCAACAAAAAGAATATCAAGAAATACATTATAATCCATTCAGCTTCAACACAGGTGCTATCTAAAGCTAGAAGTTTTGATTCCATTGTACTTCTAGAAATGATCATCATATCTTATAACCCCAAGAAATAGTTGCATCTTCAAACATAAATATATACCCAATAGTGGGATTTATATCCTAACTATCAATTATCTAATCTGCAACACCATAAACATCAACCACTAGGGCTGTTCAAATTACCTAGTAAACCAAAGAATTGAACCAAATTGACCTCTTTGGATTGGGTTGGGTTGGTTTGGTTCTGGGTATTCAAATCATCAAACCGATAGAATTGGGTTGGTCTTCGGTTTAGGCTAGGCAAGGCCTAAACCGAACCAATCCAAAAACCGTACCTATTTATATATATATATGTTAAAATTTTATTTATATGGACTTGTCTTCACCTAATTGAACTATTACAATGGACTTGATTACACCTAATAACTTTCATTATACAAGAATTATTAAGTGAACGAAGTAATAGAAGTTTGAGTTAGATTTCGCAGTTGATTTAATATGTATTGTTTAGTTTAAGCTTGAGTTTGATTTAATTTGTATTGACTTGTATTAAACAATATTTTGCTCTTTGTTTGTACTATATTTAAATGATAAAGATTTGTTTATTTTAATTATTTATTATTGATTAACTCATTTATTTTTAATATAGTGGAATCATGGTTCCAACCCAAACCAATCTGCGCTACATTGGGATGGTTTGGGTTGGTTTTAGTGCATGATTGGTTTGGTTCTAATCCAAAAACTTAAAACCGATTGTGATTTGGTTGATGCTAAATTTAGTGCCAAACCGAACCAAACCGACCCATGAACACCCCTCTCAACCACATTAAGGAAATCATTGATAATAAGGACAGCACTCTAAAGTTCCTCTTGAAGTATTTGAAAATGCAACGTAGTGCTCTTTACTATGTTTATGGTCATACCTACTAAGTCTTCCAACAAAATATGCAATATCAGGCCTAGTCCTATTAGCTAAATAAAGAAGTGACCCAAATAATTGTGAATATTTAAGTTGAAATATAGGTTCACCATTATTTTTCTTTAAATTCATACTAGGATCATATGAAGTTGAGGCAGGTTTAAGATTAAAATAATTAAACTTTTTCAGCAACTTTTCTTGAAGAACATATTGGTTTAATGTAATACCCATTAGATGCCCTTTTTTTCATCTTCATTCCTAGAAATATATTTGCTTCCCCTAAATCCTTCATATCAATCTTCCTAGATAACTTCACATAGTCTATTATCTCCAAACTAGTTCCAAACAATAATATCATCAACATACAAACACAACAAAATAACACATTCATCTTCACTCACTACCCCTTGTAATATACACAATTATCATGCACATTGATTTGAAACCATATTCTAGAACAACCCTATCAAACTTTTCATGCCATTGTTTAGGGGCTTGTTTAAATCCATACAAAGATTTAACATACTTACATACCTTATGTTCTTGACACTTAACCGCAAATCCTTCAAGTTGCTTCATATAAATCTCTTCATCTTAGTCTCCATTTAAAAATGCAATTTTGACATCCATTTGATGAATCACTAAATTATATATAGAAGATAGAGCTACCAAAACTCTAATGATAGTTATCCTAGATAATGGTGAATAGGGTATCAAAATAATCTATATGTCTTTGTTTTGTTTGAAATTTGAATCATTTGGCTATTAGTCTTGTATTATACTTATCTATACTTCCATCAAGTTTCAATTTATTTCTAAAAACCCATTTATAGCCATTAAACTCTGTTTCAAATGGAGCATCTGAAGACGACACAACTTTACTGTAAGAATTGGGTACCTCTTCAGTTAAAAGAGTATAAAATTCATCTACACAATACTCACATGGGTGTGGGTCATGTCATGTAAGTAGTAGATAGAACATTTGGTAATTCATTTGCTCACATGGGTGTGGGTCATGTCATGTAAGTAGTAGATAGAACATTTGGTAATTCATTTGGTCTCTAGCAATTTTGAACATTTTTACATTTTTAAATCCCAGAGAGACATGTGAACTCTCAATTGATTTAGCAACCTAATTCTAGAGCAAAATTACAACAATAAATAATAATAATAATAATAATAATAATAATAATAAGGTTTAATTACAGTTTTTCACCCTTATAATTTCATTTTACTTATTATTATTTCAATTTGGACAAATTCATCTCTATCCATCCAATTTCAATTTAGTTCTTTCTTCTATTTGACTACATGTATATGTTTAAAAAAAAAAATTGTTAATTTTAAACAAATTATAACTAGTATTAAAGTATGTACCAAATTATTCAACTAAAAGATTAATAATAATAATAAGGGTTAATTAGTTTTGACTCAAATTTACTTGTTATGATTTCAATTTGAACAACTTGGTCTCTATCCAGTTTCGATTTGGTCCTTTCTTCTATTATATGCATATACTAAGAGCAACTCCAACCACACTCTCGACTTTTCACTAGCTAAAGTACAAAAAAAAGGTATACTCTTTATTTTACCTAATTACTTTAGCTATTGTGTTCTCCAACCATGCTCTTTATTTTAGCTAATCATTTAAACTAACTTAATTAATTTTTAAAATAAAAAAATACTAATTGTTGATATTTTACTAATATAAATTTGCAATAATAACAAATTTGCCCAAACAAACATACAAAATCTGTAGAATTAGGAGAAAAAAAAAATACAAAATACAAAATAAGTTATTCTGTAATTCATCAAACAGAATTGAAAGAACATATAAAATTGCTACATACACACACGTATATATAATATATAAAATCCTAAATCCAAGACATAAATATACAAAAATTTAAAATATATACATACATAATTGTTTGGAGAGCCTCTGGGGCTCTTCAATTGTAGCCACCAAAAAAAAAAAATGGTAAAATAGCTAGTCCTTGGAACTCAAAATTAGACTTATATTGGTTAAAATGCCTAACAAGCCTTGTTTAACCAAGTGTCCCAAAATTACTAATTTTAAACAAATTAAAACTACTATGAAGTATGGACCAAATTGTTCAATTTAAACCATAGAAACTAAAGAGTAAAATTTGTGTAATTAACCCTACTAACAATAATAATTATAATACTAATCGAGAGAGAGAGAGAGAGAGAGGCGATTTTTGAAAGGGGAAAGGTAAGATCGGAGAGGAGAGGTAAGGGGGGTTATTGATACCTGAAGAGCGACATCGGAGAAGAAGGAAGGTGGATGAGATCCAAGGGCAATTTGAGAGTAAACTTTTGCATCATCATCTTTGCTGAAAAGCTCTTCAATTCTCTTCATGTCTTCGAAGATCATCGATGAAGACGACGACGACTTCACTCCTTTCTCTTCCATATTTGCTTTCTATTCACTCTCTTCTACTCTTACCACTACCAATATTGCTTCCCTAACCTGTAAGATTGATGATATAGAGAGAGAGAAAAAAGAGTACTTGGTTGATTTTGTAGAATACGCACGCAGATTTAAAGAAGAAAAAAAAAAGAAAAAGAAGAAGAAGACGAAGCCAAAGTAAGCACACCTTCAGCGAAAGGAAAAGTGAAGCGGGCCTCACATGGAGACTGGAAACTCTGTTCAGCAACCTTCCCTATTTGCTTACCACTTTTTTTAATTATTATTTACTTTTTATTTTTATTTTTCAATTCACGTCATCTTTTTGTTTTTTTCTTAAAAAATAATCATGATTCAATGGAAAATTTTATTTTCACCCACTTAATAAATTCTGGACAAATCTCTTTTCTCAATGCACATTTTTATTAATTTAATTATTAAGTAATTATTTCAATTCACATTCTTAAAATTATAAATAAATCCTTCACTCATAACATGTACACACATTTTACCCTCAAATACAGACACTTCAATTTACCTCAATTTGCATTTCTACTTCCACCCACCAAAGTGGCTTGGTTTAAACAGGAAGAAGTTCGTTCAAACAGGAAACAAAGGAAAAAAAAAAAAAAAAAATTCACTTTCCTCACCTCCATTGAAGATTTCAAGAGTTCCATTGAATATCTACTAAACAATGTTGAAAACCTTGTTTAAGGTAAGAAATCTTTTAATTTTATTATTACATTTATCATTTTATTATTACATTGACAATTTTTGGATATCTCTTCACTCCATTGGCATAAAAGTGTGATTTTTCCGTAACTGTACGTGCTGTGTAGATCTCGGCACTGAGTTGCCGAATCTGTGTGTTTCATTCGGAACTTGGTAACCGAATATTATGTATAATTTCGTCCAATTAGTTCTGAAAAAAATATATAATTTCACACTTTGATTTCTGAATCTATTCTATGTTTTCGGTTCTTTTATGCCGAATAAATGTAATAACTTTGGTACTTAATTATAGAAATATTTGTGTATGTTCGGTCCTGAAGTTCCGAATGGTTTTATTTATTTTTTATTTTTTTAAATATATGATATAGAACCAGGTTACATAGGCCACCAATATTTGTTTTATTTTAGGTTCTTTTCCAAAAATTTTATTTTATGGGAATGCTTATGTATTTATTTTTTTTCCTGAAATTAAATGCATAACAATAGAAACAAAAATATGTGCAGTATTGATATTTCCACATGATATTGTTAGCTTAGTAGTTGGATGTTCATAAATTTTGTTAGCTAAATAGCTGAACAAAACAATTGCATTATATAGAGTATTAAAGCTTGAGTTATTTTGCCTTTGGGGTTTGTCATTTCAAAGCATTGAAATTGGTGCCAAATTTGGTCTTTGGTTGTATGCTTACAGCTATAACAAGTTTACAATCAATGGCATGTACAAAGACAAGTGATGGCCAGTCCTTTGATTGTTTGAAAAATGATGTTAGTATTGATTAATGACCATGTTGCCTTGGTAAATTGGCCAAAATGAAGTTAATCTGTTTTTCACATGTTGTGAACATCAACCAAACTAATTGGTGAATGGTTTGTATAGAATACAAATAGTTTTACTATATCCATGTTTACATTGTAATTTTTCAACAAATCCTAGTCTAAATCTTTCATAAGTAGTAGGGTTATGTATTTAACTTATTTTGTTAATTTCACATCATCCAAATTGTGAATTTAATGGTCTATAACTGCGTATTAGATTTCATTAAGGTAGCATGGTTAGGCTACTTATTACCTGCATTGATGTGATCCTTTTATGGGAGTGCTTATTATGTTTCATTATATTGGGTTGATAAGAACAACTTTTCTTATGCAGATGGATGTCGGTCCTGGTGAACGTCGGTCAGTAATAGCTTCGAATAGAAGACTCCGTGAATTAGAGAGACGTGGACGTGGACGTAGATGTGCTCGAGTGCATGATGATGACATGCACATTGCCATGGATGATGATCCTATACATGGTGCACCGGTTATGGATGATATTGCTATGGATGATGACCCTACTGGTGATGATGCTGACATTGTTGATGAAGATATCCTTACTCAGCCATTTCCAGGAGGTCCAACTGATCCATTAATCCTTAAAAGTTTTAAAAGTCACGTTGCCTCAGCTATTTAGAATGGTGCTGATGAAAGGGGGCCCTTAAAGTGTCATAATCACTCATCTAAGATTCGTTCGTGGCCGTGGTGGGAACAAGGAAACAACGTTACATTTGTAAACATTGTAGAGATGTCAGGACTTGCACAATTAGCTCATTGCACGTACCGCTTTGTCAATAAAATTGTAGTGTCTAGTTTTGTTGAGAGATGGCAACCGGAAACAAACACCTTCCATTTGACTATTGGAAAGATGACTATCACATTGGACGATGCCGCCACTATCCTAGGGCTTCTTATTGTAGGCAAACCTATTAGTGTGCGTAAGTTGTCAGAAAGGCAGGCCATTGCATTAGTAGTTAATATCTTGGAAATTGATGAGTAAGACGTCAGACATGAGATATGTAGTGCTGAAGGCAATTCAGTGAGGCTTGAGTGGTTGAGGGCATACTTTCATAATATCACAGACAATGATTCAATGGAAAGAATTGCATGTGCAAGTAGATCATACTTACTATTTTTGTTGGGTTGTACACTTTTCAGTGACAAGACTTGTAGTAGGGTCCCCATTGTTTATTTGAGTTTGTTATTCGATTTGACGACTGTATCTTCATATGCTTGGGGTGCTGCTGCATTGGCATACTTATAAAGACAGATGGGGTATGCTAGCAAGTCCGGCGTGAAACAAATAGCCGGTTACATGACACTCATTGAGGGATGGATTTATGAGCACTTTCATGGATTCCGACTACACTTGAATATGAATTACACTCGAGACATGCCACATGTTTACCGTTGGACTTCTCGGAAAGAGTCTGGTGAAGAGACACTAGGAATGGCAACGGGGCGGGGCGGGGCCGGGGATCACACTCCCCGTTCCCGATCCCCGATGGTGAACATGGCCCCGTCCCCGGCCCCGATCCCCGACGGGAAACCTATCACTCTCCCCACCCCCGCCCCCGATCGGGGATCGGGTTTCCCTGACCCCGAAAATTCCCCGGCCTAAATTTTTTTCAACAACATCACACATATATTTTCAACAACATACACAGAAAGATCAACAACAACAACATAAAGATCAACTAAACCCTCATCATCACATCAAAACCAAAAACAAAGTGCATCAAAATCAAACATATTCACTCTCAGAAATCAACTACAACTTCAAATCTTATCTAAGATTCATAGGATCCAAGCATCTAAGACACAAAATTGAGTCTTAGATTGAGAATAAAAACAAACCCACATGCCAGTTAAACAAAAGATTCACCTAAAAAACACAAAACAAAACAAACTCACACAATAGGCGAAAATCCATTTGCACAAAGATCACAAAATTTTTTTGACAGAAAGATCTGAGAGCATCTGACTCCACCATGCTCGATCGAAGGAGGTAGTGGCGTCGGAAGAGGCAACGGTGTCGGAGGATCGAGTCGACGACTTCGGATACGGAAGAGGAGGAAGAGGCGACGGAGGAGGAGGCGGTGGTGACCTGGAGGAGGAGGAGGCGGTGGTGGCCTGGACTCCGACTGCGTCTGTGTGGAGAGGAGAGAGAGTGAGAGAAGAGAGAGAGAGAGTGGAGCTGCTGTTCAAAACTATTACACTGTGTAAGACCATCCTAAACATATATAATATATATATATATATATATAGTATTTAAAGAAAGTGGAGCTGCTGTTCAAAACCAAACCCTAAACATATATATATATATATATATAATAAATCGGGGATAACCGGGGCCGGGGCCGGGGATGAAATATATATCACCGTCCCCGTCCCGAATGTCATCGGGGATTTATTTTTGAATACCATTCCCGGCCCGTCGGGGGTATTTTTCGAGGAAAAACCACTCTTATCGGGGACGGGGGTCGGGTCCCAGTCGGGCCGGGTTGAAATTGCCATCCCTAAATAGGAAAGAGTAGACTTCAATTCACCACTAAGTTGTTCACTTTATAGATAGATAGATAGATAGATGTCGTCTTCAACGTTCTAAGTTTAAAAAATTTACAAGATTGCGAGAGATAGTTCCACAATCGAGTCGTAGAACTGCGATTATTGCTATATTTTGAACCTTGTTTGTTGAATTTTGATAATTGTTCGAATCAAAACTTGCAATTGAGCCATACAAGAGATGTATATTTTGTTTGTTTTTTCAAATGACAGAGTGAATAATTGTTGAAGGTTTTTTCAAGTAAGAAATTATTTATGTAAACTGTTACAAGTTTGTACATAATGTTATGTTTGTTCTCGTAATGCAGCGTATGTCACAGATATATCAAATTACTCATCCTTTTGTTGAGGCTGGCTATGAGGACAGTGTTCAACATCCTGATAGGCTTTACTACGCAATTGATGCAATCGAACAACTTCTTCAAGATCAGCACATTAGTGAAGCTGTGCCCAGCACATCCACTCAGGGTCGGTCTGCACCTAGCTCTTTCACAGCACATCGTTTTGGAGCACATTACACTCGCCGGTTATGTAGTTAATAATAGTTCATAGTGTTAGCACAAGTAATTTCTGATGGTGTTGGTGGATGTACAAGGAGACAAATATTATTATTATCTTCAGATTATGTATTTCTTGGATTATGTACAAGCACACATGCAGTTTGTGATGGTGTGGATGGATTGAACTACTATTTAGTATATATATATATATTTTTTACATACTTGTTTAATCTTATTACTTTTTAACAGCAATTGCACTTGGTTAATATTATTTTCATTACGTTTTGTATTCAGACAATGTAAAAATACTATGACATCCATTTCATAAACTAGAGAACTATAACGCATATAATATTCTATTTTTTTTAAAAAAAAACTGACCATTATAAAATGATGCAATAAGATGCCCCATGTCAGGCATAGTCATCCAACGATCAAAGCCTGGGCTATTTTCAAACTATGAAAGGATGTGTGTCAGCTCCTTAACCCTCTCATGCGACCCGTATAATACGACGTATTCATCTCTGTGATTATTCAATTCAAGTAGCAGATCATGCCTAACTTGCACCCTGTCATTCTCTCCAAGACCAAGTAAACCTGCAATAGCTCTAAATCCATAATTCCCATCACCATCTACATCCTTCATCAATTTTATGAATGGTATTAACATAGGCGGGAAGTCAGCAACATATGCACTCGGTAAACTTGTTCTTGTACGATATGTCTTTGTCTTCACATTCCGCTTCTTCTCATGCACTTTTGAAGTTCTCTTTTTCTTTGACTGACTGGAAGCTAATGTGCTCTGGCTATCATGCCCATCGTCAACCAACTCAAATGCACACGGGTCACGACGACAAGATATATCAATTTTCTTATGTCCTCGACATGGATTAGGTTTCACATCGGGCTCAATAAGAAAAGTGCTCGTTGGATTTGCAATTTCCCTCAACTTCTTCAACATATCCAATTGCGTGGCAATATCAGACTCTTTGAACCGTTTCAAAATCAACTCAAGTTCTGGGATACAAGTCAATTCCAACTTCTGTTCCTTCGGATTATGCACACATATATTAAGGCGCGTCCAATGTACATGTATGCTACTGAGTGGAATAGGACGGCCTTGTCTCATGTAATTTGCAATCTCGTGAGCACAAGGTAAACCATGTGTGCGCCTAAGAACACACCCACATGTTGCAACATCAATTTCAACTAAATTTGCTCTCTTACTCTCTGCCAACACGTACTCCAATGCACAAATAGACACATTACCCCGGAGCTCTCTGAATTGAGAAGGTTTGAATTGATGTTGCACAGTTGCCAAACTCTTGTCGAATGATGCTTTAACTTGAATGTGCTGCAACTCAAGTAGAAAATGTATTATTTTAAATGAAATCTCAAATGTCGTTTGACTTGAACCTAATTGCCTCTTCAATCTAGCATGAGCACTTTCAACCCTGTTTATATGGATGTAAACCAAAATAGTCAAGCATAATAATTAAAAATAACAATATGATTTATAATAAATTAAAAAAAAAAATCTTACTGGTTGGTTGTAACATTGCCAAAATGCATACACATGTCTGTATGTACCACAATGAATTTTTCTTGATACGGATTCAACCAACTCACAGTAACATACTTGATTGCCTCCGAATAGTTACTGAAATCCTTATGTAGTGTTGCAAGGTGATCATTGTATTCCTCTTCAGTCGATGACAATATCAAATAGTTCCATGTAGTGTTAAACTTGTCCCATTTTTCTTTTGTCTCAAACATTTTCTTGCATTTTCTCAATACATTCTTATTAATATGCCAACGACATAACAAATGTCAAGCATTCGGAAAGGTGTTGTCAATGGCATTCATCAAAGCAAGCTCTCTGTCTGTGACAATGACTTCAGGTAAAACACTGTCATCCATAAGATCACACAATGTTTATAACGCCCATGCATAATTATCAACCCGCGCAGTTTGCAAGTATGCGATAGCCACGGAGAATGTCATATGAGTTGATGTTACTCCCACAATTTCAAGAAGAGGAAGCCGATATCTATTCGTCTTATATGTGCAATCCATAATCAACACACGAGGAAATGTACAAAGCAAATCCAAACTCACTGGATGTGCCCAAAACAAGTCCGTGACAGGCATAGAGCCTTCCTCACATCGATGACGCTCAATGTACTTATGTTTCGCTAATTTACCCAGCAGTTGTTGCATCTGGGATCTACCAGCTTTCTGTAGAACCCTACATCGATGTCGTACATTGTAAACTGTCTTCATTGTGCTCATATTAAGGGCATCCCTTTGTTTGAGTGTAATGAGTATCTCTTTTAGTTTTACTAGGCTCTTTGACATATCTACTAATAGCGACTTTTCATTAGCTGACAATCTCCCTGCATATGAATGTCTTTGGAGATGCTCCGCAGCTGGATGGTTATGCAGCCCACAAACTACATTCAATGTCGATTTATCGTTTGTTTTCAACTTGAATGCCCTCAAATCAAATGGACATTCGCACTTCTTTGTACCAGTTTGTCTCAACAAGTCTTTTGAGCCATCTTTCTACTTTTTATGCAATCTATACTTCCCACTCTACTCACAAGCAAGATAAATTCTTGGTCTCTTACGACCGCCACCATAGTCCGACGTCCTTATAATAATAACAAAGCCATTTATCCTTCCAATATCATGTACCCAAGTGAGCAATTCATCTTTGTTGTCGAAAACCTATATACAATGTCACATAACTTTCATAAGAACAAACTAAACAAACTAACTAATACAAATTTATGAACTTACAAATTTTATGTTAAAAATTACCTGTCTAGCTTAAAATGACTAGTACAATCCACCATAATATCCGATCGAACCTCAGGTTCTTCAGTGCATGCCATATAAAGAGGAGGGAGAAAAAATTTAATTTGGTTCTACAGAGCCGAAATAAATAAAAAAAATTCGGCCCTAAAAAAGCAAAAATAACAACAAATTTCGGAACTATGATTCTGAAAATATTAATTTTATTCGGAACTTAATAACCGAAATAAATTAAAAAAATCGTAATTAAAGTAATGACACATTCATATTATTTCGGTGGTTGATTTCCGAATTAATTAAAAAAATTTGGCACTGCGTTTCTGACTAAAAAATGCAAAAAAAAAAAAAAAATACTACACGATTTTACCTTTTCATCACTGATGTTGCTGTCACCATTGCTTGAGTTTGAACTTCCAGAGGTTTGCAACTCTTCCATATCAAAATCAAGTAAAAAATGTTGAACTAATAATTAAACAAAGTTAATAATCGTGTATAAACTTAAAGATTAAAGCAATATGGGAGATGTTTTGTTTGCAAATAACAGAGAGGAGTACAGAGTGTGTAAGAAGGAAAGTGACCACAAAAGAAAAATTAGGGTTTAATTTTCTTGTTTCAAAAAGTGTATATTGAGATATTTTTATTCCTACAAGATGTATATAGAGAATTTATATATATAATATTAGGAGTGTTGATCAATAGGTATTATAGTAATTTTTAATTAGGATATAATTGTCATTAGGTTAATTTTTCATTAAGTGTGTTCCCTGAGTTTATCAGGTGGGTGGAAATAGAATTTCCCCTTTAGTTCATACTTTGCTTCAATTTTTATTTTTTTTATTTATCATTATATCTTCAAGTAAATTATCTATACAACCTCCTTCTCAATTTACTACCGTTGGTTGTCACTTTTTCCCAATCCACCATCACCAACTGTAACTACACACCATTCCTCGTTACCTATACCTCCAATAACCCCATTTCCTACCATCGTAACCTTCTCTGCCACCCTCTCATTTTTGAAAACTCGCTTATAAACCTCCTATACTCCTCTCACCACCCCCTTTTCAATGACACCTCTTCTTTGCAACAACCCTGCAGCAATCCCACTGTACACTACAACCTCCTCAGGCAACCCCCATACACCGACCCCCATTTTCCACGACGTAACCCTTTTATTTCGCAACTTCTTGAGCCCTTTATGCTTCTTCTTTTTTATTTTCACTCTCTCAGTCAACTTCTCATTTCTCTACCTAAGTTAATCGTGAGGATTGGAGGTAGTGGTCACGAGATTGTCAAAAAATGTCTATAGTAGTGGTGGAGTGGGGCAGGGTCGAGGGAGGACGACAGTGGCAATGATGGGTTATGGAGGGGCAGACGAAGGCGGGAGTGGGTCGTCGGAGTTGGGAATGGATAGAATTGCGATTGGGTTGGAAGGGTAGGGTTGAAGTTATGGTGTTTTGGGCATTAGGTGGTTTGAATTAAGAGGGGAAAAAGGAAAAAAGAAAAAGAAAAAAAAAAGAGAGATTTTTATAAATCCCATTTATAGTCCAATAAGTCCACAAAGTATTTTTGTATTCCACCTAGTCCCATACATTTGAACTTATATTCCAGTAGGCCTGTTTTCCATATTAGAAGTATTATATGGATTATTTTACCCTTATAAGCTTTTATTAGAATATATATATATATATATATATATATATTATGCCATATACTTAGAAGAGAGAAAATTATTATTAGATATATTTCATTTATGATATATATAAAATATTGTGTAAAAAAAATAGAAGATTATTATTCTTAGTATTTTATTTGCCTCAATGCGAGGGATTCACTTGATAAAAGATTTTCTTTTACCATTATTTTACAATAAGATCCTGCCATGGAAGAACATTTGGAAGAGAAAGTTAGTTGAACATGTAGACCAATGATAGAGATGATGATGGACTCGCAACAGAGATGATAGTAAACCGGCGATGAACAATTGGTTTTTTGCCATTGTTATATATAAACCATAGTCTCTTCGCCGGTTTGTGTAGTCACCGATATTGTATAATTTATTCGTCGATATTATGCCGGAGTTGATTATATACAGATTTTCCTAAAAAAGTGCTACAATATATATTTGTTACTATGTTTGTTGGTTGAGCAATCATTTTTATTGCCATTGAACAATTGAAATAGTTGATTTTCATTTTTTTTAATTTTGTTTCGTGTTTTCACGTTGCAGTGTGAATGTTCAAATTGGTATGAGTTTTATTTTTATTTTTTTAAAGGCTAGTTGTATGTTAATTGTAATTTATGAACATTCACATATATTTTTATATGAATTTTATTTTTTAAAAGGTTAGTTGTATGTTTGTTGCTTTTGTTACTTATTGGTTGAACAATCATTTTTGTTACCACTGAACAATTGAAATAGTCGGTTTTCACTTTTTTCATTTTTATTTTATGTTTTCACGTTGTAGTATGATTGTTCACATTGGTATGAGTTTAATTTTTTAAGGGTAATTATATATTAATTGTAAACTATGAATATTCACATTTTATTTTGATATGAGTTTTATTTTTTTGAAGGTTTGAATTTTATTTTTTAAAAGGTTAGTTGTATGTTTGTTGTTTTTGTTACTTATTGGTTGAACAATCATTTTTGTTACCACTGAACAATCAAAATAGTCGGTTTTCACTTTTTTCATTTTTATTTTATGTTTTCACGTTGTAGTATGATTGTTCACATTGGTATGAGTTTAATTTTTTAAGGTTTTCACGTTGTAGTATGATTGTTCACATTGGTATGAGTTTAATTTTTTAAGGGTAATTATATATTAATTGTAAACTATGAATATTCACATTTTATTTTGATATGAGTTTTATTTTTTTGAAGGTTAGTTGTATATTTGTTATTTTTTGTGAACATTCATATTATACTTAGGTATGTGTTTTGTTTTTTCGAAAGTTAGTTGTATAGTAGTAGTCATACTAGCACAAACGACAATGTGTTATTTTGGTCACAAACATAGTGTGTACATAGAGATGTGAATGTTCACATTAATTCTGTAATACATCGCCCTAATGTTATGTACACACACTCATGTAATATTGAGTGTTTGTAGGGTTCCATGAGGAGATGTTATTTATCAGCATACATTTGTAATGTGAAAATTCACATTAACATTTAGTTAGAGATTTTCAAAAGGTAGACGATTTAGGATTTTGAGAACATGAGAGCTTTTTTCCCCTAGAATGAGGGAGATATTTTCTCCATAGAATAAGTGATGTGTTGTTTGGAACAACAAAAATAAAGAGCTAAACTATATCCAAATTCCTTAGAATAAAGGCAAGTCTAGGTATCGATCCATAGGGACAATTGTGAAATTAAACTAATTTAATTGCTAGGTTCCTAAATTAATTTTGGTAAAAAGATTGAGGGATATGATGACTAAATGATAAATTAAATGAAATTGAGAAATTGAATTGATTATTGAAAGTAGGGTTTGAGATATTGATTTGGGGAAAATCCCAAGGCAAAGAATTCATCATTAACCACATAAATAAGATTTAACATTGGCCATCAATTGCAATCCGGTTTAAACTACCCAATGTTTCACAACTACAAGTTTGAAAACATTGATCAAGAGGTTGCTACATTCAACATACAGGCACAAATCATCTCAAGTAGCATGAGTTGTTCTCTCTAAACTACGGTAGCAACACGACTCGTCTCTCATAGCATGACTCATCTCATACTTTGAACATAAACACAAAGAAAACTAATGTATGAAAAGCATTTAACAATCACAGAGAGTAAAATACTTGAAGAGATGAAAAGGAAAATTATTATAAACTTCTAAAACATCTATACATTTATTCAAACTGTTTCACAATCAAAGCCTAAGAAAAATCTTTTTACATGGCTAGGGTTTCATTAAAACCTTAGAAAATGGAAGACTAGCCACTCATGGAGGAGCAGGAAGAGGTAGGAAAAAAAAAAGCCATCATGGAAGATATCCTTGAAGCTCTAAGCTCTTTCTCTCCAAACCCTAGCCTCTCTTTTCTTTTCAAAAATATCAGAACCCTTTTCCAGCTTTTCTTTCTTCCTTTTATACCTTCCAGGCTTCAAAACAAGTTTAGAACGTCATGCACACAAAACAAGATGGGACCACACGTGCGAGAAATGTCACTGCACATGCGGCAAAGGCTCTGCAAGTGCGGGAAAAACCCTTCGCTTGTGTGGATTTTTCAGTATGGTTTTGACTTCAGGCTGAGAGGCCACACATGCAGGAATGAATTTTGTCATGCCTCAACTTTTATTAACCGAATCCATTATAATAATTCCATTTATTTGAGAACATGAACCAGAATAAATAACAATATTCTCTCACGACAACAATGATGATATAAATAAGGCATGGTACAATGCCCTTAGGCTTACATTGAATGACGATAAATAAAATAGAAGGGATTCCTTATACAATGCATGGCACACGACCAACAAGTAAGGGCCTCATGGCCAACAATTAAAAGGATTAAGTCATACACGATTCCTCCAGCCTTGTACCTGAAAAAGTTTATCAACACGTGGAATAAGCACTAAGTCCAATAGAGATCCCAAAGATCCTAACTGAAAAATCTAGAAATCCCCTAGATGTTGAGTTATGATTATGTATCAATTTTAAGCAGTAAATAACAATCCCAATCAAACAATCAAGACAAATTGACATAACGATTTTACGTGAAAAAACCACAATTGGAGCGCCTCCAATTATGATAAAAAAAACCATGAGCAAAAGCCATAAAACAATCCACTAAGAAGACATAAAGGAATTACACAAGTGTACTCTTAATTTCCTAGTGAATCCACGTCCAAATCGAACCGACCTCTATGTGCCTCTTCCAGCCCCATCTTCACCTTAGAATTGTCTTGCCCAATGTTGAATCCACAACGCCGATGTTGAATCACAACGATGAGCCACTCAGGAATCCACCAAAGCTTTAGGCCTGAATTCCACAGAATCCACCGAAGAACAACACTCTTTTTTGTATTGAATGAAACAAACAATCCTTTGATCGAAACTTTTAAAACCAGATTTAAACTCAAACAAACATCAAAGAGACTAGCAAAGAACCTCCAAATATAAATCCTAATATCCAAGAAGAAGATTTGGAAGCCGTAACCTAAAATCTGATTGAACTGCACCTTTTATAGAAAACTGTTCTGCGATCTCCGCTGGAGAGCAAGAATGGACGCTCGAGCATAGGAAGTTCCGCTCGAGCGTAAAAACACAACCTTCAGTACTTTTGTAGACAGTTCAAACTTTTGGAGCCAAAGATTCTCCGCTTGAACGCACAAATGGCCGCTCGAGCGGACAAGCAACTTTGACTGTAATTTTGCTTCTGGCTTCAGGGGCACTGCCCCTCGACCCCACTTGGGCGTTGCCCCAAACCCGCCAAAGGGCACTGCC